TATTTTAATTTCATTTAATCTTTCTCATAAAAATTCATAAATCCAAAAAATACCAAAATAATTTCTTTTTTTATTTTAATTAATTTAATCATTTAATTTAATTTCATTAAAAAGGGTCCAACGCCCTCGTTTCCAATATTAATTCCCATTCACGCATTTATTCCTTTTCTTTTAATTATTTATGTAATTCTCCCAAAGCCGTGTAATTTTATAATTTCTCGCACTTTACTTTATTTCTTTACCTTCTGTCAAATCGGGTCCTGGATTTTAATTTGGCGATGTGGACCCGCGCCTTTGTAATAGTTTAGGAATTTTATCTTTCCGCACTTTTTCTTTTAACTATTAAATAAATGCATGCAAGAATGAATGACAAAAATAAAAACAAACGCATAGATCACTTTGACATGAACAAGATAAGATAACTGAACATGACACACAAATCACACACCACCCCTAGGGTACACCTCACTGTTGCCTTGCCTCGAAAGGTGATCGTCGAGTAGAGGATGTCTTAGTAAGTCCTCATGATCCGGGAACCTGGCATGAGGGTAGCTTCTAAGGTGTCTTCCTATTGCTCTGGTGATCACCATGTCCCGAACCTTCGAATTGACCCGAACAACTCCAACGGTGGTGCTACCTACCTCTCAATGGTGGGATGGTACTACTTTAAAGGACATTTACACAGACGAATTCCTTAGGGTAGGTAGACGACTCTAGATACTTGCTCTAATTCCAAAAACAAATTCAAAAATACTTTTCACACCGACACTTTTTCAAAAGCTTTCGAAAGTAATTTTTCAAACACTCTTGAGGACCGATACAAGAGTCGAACTGAAATTTTCAAAGAAACTTTTTAAAAAAACCCACATTGAAAAGCAAGCAAACCAATTTTGAAAACACAAATGAGCAAGTATCTAAGAGCCCATGGATAACCATGGATAGAAAGGGTGCTAACACCTTCCCTTTCTATAATCTACCTCCCGAACCGAGAGCAATCTCTTTAAGGAATTTTTCTGTGCTTTTGTCCTTTCCATTTGGAGAAAATAAAAGACGGTGGCGACTCTTGCTTCCGCGACATTTCGCGATCCAGTGTAAAACAGTCAGTTCCAGATCCACCGATCACACTCTAAAACAAGAAAATAAAAATAATTGCAAAAGTAATAATTTTGTTATGGGAAAATTCCTTCGACCTCTGCAGCCTTGCACTATCACACATATATATAGGAGAGAAAATAGCAGTTGAAAGTATATTGAGAAAAGGCTTAAGTGGAGGAAATATAGGGAGCATGGTTATTGAGTGGAGGGAAAATAGGAGAACAAGTTTGCCCTTACGTTGCCCACGTCTCCACCAATTCACAACATTCATCTTTACGCGCGTGACGGTCGTCATAGGTGGGTGACAGTCATAATGCGCTTAAATAACGCATTACGCTTGTCAGTGATGTGTGACGAGCGTTGCTTCAAGTTGAGGGTCGTTACGCCCGTCACGAGGATGTGACGCTCGTCACTGCTCCAAAATCTCCAAACTTTGCAGTTTTTGTTCTTTTTCTCTTTGTTTATTGTCTAGCCTCCTTCATGTAGTCCTTTTCCATTGGTTTGAGTTGACAAATGTTATACTTGTAAAAAGACAAATAAACTCGGAATAATCGGGAGTTAGACGACTTAATGTATTATAAAATCGGTAAAAAGCGTAGTAATTATATGATACGATTTCTCGTTATCAGTGACTATCCTTGACTTTAAGTTGGATGTGTGGACTTAGATTTAGGTTTTTGATCTTATGATTTGGAGTTGTGACTTGAGATCTTGATTCATCTGATATCTTGATCCATCTGAGACCCTGGAGTCCTCATTTGAGACCTTAGGAGTTTCATCTGATCCTTGGGTTTTATCTATATGTTTTCTTTTTGTGTGTTTTGTCTGATGCAGGAATTTTCATCTGAGACATCAAGTTTTCATCTGATGCATGATAATTCATGTGCACCTTGTGATTCATCTAATGATGAACTTGCACCCGGGGTACTAAATTTTCATCTGACGCTTATAATGTTCATCTGATTACTTGCTTGTGTATGTGGGTTAATCCAAAGGTAATGGATGCATAGTTTGACTTATGTCAATATGATTTCTCTATCTTGGTTAGATATGTTCTACCTTTGATTTTACTTTATGCTTTAAGATAATCATTTCATCTCTTACCCATCTTCTTCAATTTTCAAAACTTCTCTTTATTTTTTCAAAACCTTCTGATTTTCAAACTTAAACCACTTTCTTAATAAACATTGACTTTGTCAAGTATATTTTAAAACTTTATTTTCTTAAATAAATGCTTCAAGACACTTAAGCATATGAAAACCTTTTCAAAAGACTTAGAAAACACAAAACTCATTCAAATCCTCTTGCCACTTGACTTTTTACTTAAAATCTTTTCTCAAAGATTAGACACGAGCCCTTTTCATAGTTGAGATATAATTCTCCTATCTCTACAGTATTGGTTGATAGGGTGTTAACCCTTTTCCACTAAAAAAAGTTAGTGTCATACTTGTTGATTTCTATCCAAGTTGGAGCCCTTCTTTTATTGTGATGTAAATCTCCATCTTACTCATGTTTATGGATGATTGGTTGAGTATTCTTCTTAAGATGACAAAATATCTCTTCATTTAAAATCAACCAAACAAACAACTTTGTTTTTTTATTAGAAGAACTATGTGGTTCTGATTTCTCTATTGCACATTGGAGGTACGTAGACACAAAGCTTTCAAAGTTTGCCAGATAAAAAATTATAAAAACCATTTCTTTTCTCATCTCCATAATCTTTTTGCAAACAACCATATTTAGGCAAATACACAAATTTTCAAGAGGTTCCCATTGAGTACCATATATGTTTAGAGTGCTAACACATTTCCTTTACATACCCAACTTCCAAACCTTGTTCTCTTTGTTTTATTAGTTTTATTTTAAAATTTCTGTGGATTTTATTCACCCTTTTCCCATTTCTTTGGAAACAATAAAGTGGGGTGGTAACTATTTCTTTGTGAGTTAAGTTAATTAATAACTTAATCTCAAATTTTCACTGCTACAAATAGTTATGTGGAACAAATCAAATCCATATGTATTTGCTATAATTCTGAACGAAATCAAATCAAATATCAAAAGGAGAAATTTCAGAATTGTATTACTATTTAAGGAGACTCTCGCCTCATTATTGGGTGTGTGCGCTAGGATTGGATATCTTTGTGCTAATGTTTATTTGAGTCTTTTGGTTGTTGGTTTTTGTACACCATGCTATTGCTTTATTCATATCATAAGACATAGTAGATGATTTGTTTAGTTAAGTTGTAATTTAACATTGATAACTTTGATTATTATTGTTGATCACCAGGATTAATGATTGAGAGAAAGTGAGAGGGGATTCTCATATTAATAGGGAGTCCTAAATAGAAAGAGATTGGGGTATAATTAATAAGAGGGGCATTGAACAATGGGCCTGCTCATCTAAGAAATATTGAACTAATTCTATAGAAGAGTGAAATTCCTTTCTTGGATTAGATGCCCTCAGATGTAGGTGTGGTTTGTACTGAACTGAGTTAACAATTATTGTGTTCTTTATTGCTTTTCTGCTTCATAATCTTGTATAAGCTAAGCTATCATATCTTGGTTGGGCTAGTTGTCCTAGATATCTGGTCCAACATATGTCCTATAAGGAACAAGATTTCAATTCGTATTAGAGCAAACACTATATTTAGTCTAGGTGAGCTCCAGAGAAGATATTTTATGTTCAAATGGACAATACTAAAGATGGAGGACATGCCAATAGACCACCTACTTTAGATGACACAAATAATGATTATTGTAAAACTAAGATGGTTGTCTTTCTTAAATCCATAGACAACAAAACTTGAAAGTATATGATTAAAGATTGGAAACATCCTGTAATTACTTCCTAATATGGTACAACAAGTGAGAGTGTGCCTCCCTTATATAAAGTAGAGATCCATATTTAATATTTATTTAACTTTATACACACAAAACTATAGTAATGAATCCTTGATTATTTTTAGGAAATGGAGTGGATCCCTACTCCCTTATATAGTAGTTGGAAAAACCAAAATTAAAAATAATCAATGAGCCGAATTAATTATATAATTGATGACAAAAAACTCCAATTGATTAGACAACTCATTTATAATCAATTAGCAAACCCAAATAAGAAAGTTTAGATATATAGTCGTTGCAAGTCATTAATTTATAATCCTTATTGATTATGTAATCGATTGACACTCTTCTAATCGATTAACATATTGTTCTAATCGATTGACTGGTTAGAAAAGTTTTGGCAATCGATTGACACATCTTACCAATCAATTAGATAGTTAAAAAATAATTTGAAGAGGTTTTAGACAACTTTTTAATCACTTTATTCTGACTTAGAAAATCATTTTCAAGATAGAATCATTTTTGAAAGATGTTTTAAGTGTGTGTGTAAGTTGTCTTAATACTCTTAAGCTATTTTCTTATTTTTACAATATTTAGTTCATTCAGACAGACCGACAGACATAACCTGATGAACTTTCACACCTTTCTCCAAAAGTTTCAAGACTTTTGTTAGATAATTTGTAATTATACAGACACTTTTATCTTAACTTCTTTTATTGATGAGTTATATGATGCTTTCTCATCATTGAGGTTGAGAGTTACTATTATGCGTGTCGTCATCAAAACATCAGATGCTGAATACTTATCTTTATAACTTGCAAGCACGTAAATCTACCGTTGTTAGGAAGTACACATACAAATTCGCTCTTGATATGTATGGAGATGAATTTTTAAATTATTTTTGACAAAATGGAGTGAGTATGAATGAATGTGATGTACTTTTGGTGCGTACGCAACCCGAATTACATTTTTTAAAACCAATATGAATATGGTTTTGAGTCATGGGCCGGGCGGGCATGAGTTTAGACACAAGATAGCCCTTCTTTTGGCCACTACCAAAAGAAATGAGTGCCCTTACTATAGGTGGCTCCTCTTCTATTCTTCCCTTCAAACTAGAATCAAAAGCCGCATCACAAAAAAAGCACTTATTTAGACTTAAAAAAACCAAGGCTAACACAACCTTCCTTGCTAGCGTCACTAACAAACGCTCGCCTTCGCTTCTCCGCTTTTCGACCAAAGAAACTATGGGATTAAGAGATGCAGTCGTCGCTGCCACCGCCGCCGCCGCCTTTGCCTCCGCCTTTGCCTCCGCACCTGTCACTCTATCATCATCAGACTATCTCGTTCATAAGTCTCCGAACGACAGTCGTTTATACCGACTCATTCATCTGAAGAATGGGCTTCAAGCTTTGCTTGTTCACGATCCTGAGATTTACTCGGAAGGTTCTCGCAAACGTGTTTCAGTGGATGAAGAAGATGAAGAGGAAGAAAGCAATGATGATGATGATGATGATGATGATGACGACGATGATGATGATGATGATGATGACGACGATGATGATGATGAGGATGATGAAGAGGAGGATGAGGATGATGAAGAAGAGGATGGAGTTCAATTAGACGGAGAAGGAAAAGAAAGGGGCAAGGGTGCTTCAAATCTGAGCAAAAAGGTAGTTTGTTTTTTTGTTTTTTTGTGTAGTGTTCTGCATTTTTGATGAATACCTATTTTGATTTTAGCTATGTGTATTGAAAAATCATGCTCTAGTTCTTTTTTTTGTTGTGTTGATGGGAAATGTTAGGAATGGTGTTAGGGTATGTCCCTGTCGGACCCCGGCATTAACGCCAACATTTGTGATTACATTGAATTTATTCAGTTTTTCAAATTATTACGAGTGTCAATGGGTCAGTGTGTGTCAGATTGTGTGAAAATGTACACTAATACATGGGGAGATTTGAGATGAGAACCGGTATGGGCAATTTGGTTTGTTGATATGCTTGTTTATATTGTGAATATATTCATGTGTTTTGTTCTGTTTGCAGGCTGCGGCGGCTATGTGTGTAGGAATTGGGAGCTTCTCTGACCCAAATGAAGCACAAGGGCTAGCTCATTTTTTAGGTTTGGATATTTATCTCATTTTAGTACAAGTATATTTTTTTGTTAATTTATCTAGGTATGGTTAATGTAGATATGTTCAGTTATGAAATCCTTGTAACTGTTTTGCAGAACACATGCTCTTCATGGGGAGTGATGTTTTTCCAGATGAAAATGAGGTGTGTTTAGCTATGTCATGATTTGTTTATTACCCTTTGAAGACCGTGTTGTAAATTGGGGATTGCAGAAAGTAGTGATTGGTTAATAGCTTCTATTTGACAACACTTTGTACTAAATGACATTTTGCAAAACAAAAGTGGTTTGTTGAAATTCTGATATGATAAAGTGCTATAGCACCGTTATTTGCAACACTAACAAATCCTTTTTGTATTGTGAGGAAATAGCTTAATATAAAATAGGTCAAATGAATACTGAACTGCGGTACTTTAAGTTAGATGTTTGTAACAAAATAGTTATAAAGTTTTTTTTATACCAAATTAGTCGTTTTAGGTTGTAAATATTTACGCCGTTAGTCTTTTAACCATCACATGCTTAAAAAACAGCATTAAAGTAGAAATAAGCATTAACTAACCTTAAATTGTGAACAACAATATGTTTTCACGTTCACCACATGCTCCAAGAAAATCGCAATGATTGAACAATGAATAAATACACACCCTTGACTTTTCCTCTCTGGATTTTTCCAAATTAGCCCCATCTCTCACAAATTAACACTAATTTGATGAACCATAACTTTTGAACACAGTTATATTTGTAGGATGTGTTAAACGCAAAATTTGTGTCACATCATGTCTTTAACAAACACATAGGCTGATTTTTGCAACAGAATGTGGTTAGAAGGCTATTGGCTTAAATGTTCAGAATTAAATGTCTACCTTGTTAAAAAAACTTAAATGACTAATTTGTTACATACGTCTTATTTTGGTTTAGTGGAATTGTCTACAAACATATGATAATATCTGTCTTAAGAGAGTCCCGCGTTGAATGAGATGTAGCTTGATCTTACAAAGTTGGTTTTGTAAGATTGAGTTAGGCCAAACCTAAATTCGAATGGTATCGGAGCCTATCTAAGATTCGTTGGACCACTTGCTATTAGGTTTCTATCATCAGACTGCCCAACATTTATATCTACACTCCAATTTCAATAGTGTTGGACGTGAGATCAGAGTTATTAATCCCGGATAGCGGAGCGGAGCGGCCGACCCCCGGGAATGGGTAAAGTGGGAATAGCGGGATCCCGGATAGTGGGATAACTTTTTATATACTAATAATTATATTATAATAATCTATAAAATATATGTCATGTAATACTAAATTAATTTCACAACACTCATAAAATATTTATAAAATCTAATGTCAAACAAAGAAGAATGCTTAATCAAGATTCAAAACATAAAGATTCAAATTCAAACTTAGTACTATCATATGAAAATTCAAGCAAACATAGAAATCATGTAGCATCATCAAAATATTCCTCCAATTCTTCATCTTCAACTTCTTCAACATCTTCCTCCAATTCTTCAACTTCTTCAACATCTTCCTCTAATTCTTCATCTTCAACTTCTTCAACATCTTCCACCACTTGTTGTGTCATTGGTGCTCTAGGTGTCATTGTTGCTCTTGGTGAAATTGTTGCTATGGGTGCCGTTGTTGCTTGAGAAGTACTTCCAACTTCAAGTTGCCTTGTTGTCCTCCTAGTGTAGATTATGGGTTCATTAGTCCCACTAGCATCGGCAACTTGACTCCAAGTTAAATCATGATTTGGATGAACCAAGTCTTCACCATCATCTCCTACATTTTCCATCTCTCCCACCAACCATTCGGTGTGGAAATTAATTTCGTTAAATTCCATAGGATCAATTTTATCCCGAATTTCAAACCTCTCTACCAAAGCTTGATTATACTTGATAAACACCAAGTCTTGCAATCTTTGATGTTTCAATTTATTTCTCTTCTTGGAATGAATCTAAAATACAATAATTTGAAGTATTAATTTAATAATACTTGCATGTAAGATACTTTAATATCCTAGTAAAAAATTAATACTCACATGCTCAAAGATGCTCCAGTTACGCTCACATCCGGAAGCACTGCAACTCAAACTCAACACTTTAACAACCAACAATTGCAACTCCGGAGTTTCGGCTCCATAAGACTTCCACCATTCAACTGCAAGTAATTGTAAAAAATCATTCCATTTCCATATACATAACACAAAGTGTATCATATGTAAAAAATCATTCCATCTTACCTGGAGCTAATGTCGACCTTTGTCTAATTGCCGCTCTTATACCAAAGAGACCTGTAGCACCCCTGTATTGTGACAATTGTTCTGGAATCAAATCTTCCACTGCATAACTTTCACTAAGTGTCTCAATGCACTTACGGAGGCCTCTCACCAATCTACCATTATTCTCAATTTCTGGTTTAGAATAATAATATTCAGGATTGAGATAGTGACCTGCAGAATGTAGCGGATGATGAAGTTGACACTCCCATCTTTTATCAATGATTTCAAATACGGCTTCGTACTTGCTTGAATTTGAACTAAAAGCTTTCTCAATTGATTCCATCGCTACCCCCATTGCGGCATATATGTATCCCACTGCGGGTTTCCTTTCATTATCAACCATTCTTCGCACATCTACAAGAGGCGCCATGCACTTAAGAGTGTAGAGAACATCATTCTAAAATGATATCGTAAGTATAGTAGTAGCTGCCCTTTGTCCTTTAGCATCTTTGGCACACTTGGAACTCGTCCATTATTCACAAAGGAACATCTCTTTAAGCTTTCCTTTTAGTTCTTGCATCCTTTGTAGACAAAGGAAATGGGTAGCATACCTTGTCACTCCTTGTTTAACCAATTCAACATTACTGGTAGTCTTTCTCATTAGATTCAAAGCAAAAGTATGATTATAAATGTAGCCCACAACCTTAACCCCTTTTTGTATAACCTTTTGAACCTTTGGAATTTTGTCTATGTCTTCTAACATAAGGTCTATACAATGGGCAGCACATGGAGTCCAAAACATGTGAGGCCTCCTCAAACACAATTCTTTACCCGCCGTTACATAATTACTTCCATTGTCGGTAATCAATTGAACAACATTTTTTTCACCCATTTCCTCAATAAAAGTGTCCAACAACTCGGCTAGCTTTTCCCCCGTCTTGGCATAGTTAGAAGCATCAACACTTTTCACAAACATGGTCCCCGTCGGACAATTGACCAAGAAATTAATCAATGTTCTACCTTTTCTATCCGTCCAACCATCCGACATAATTGAACATCCATATTTATTCCTTTGCACCTCTTGGTTTTTCAACAAACATTTTGTATATTCCAACTCATTTCGAAGGATTGGAACCCTGAGTTCATGATAACTTGGTGGTTTCAAATGAGGACCATAACTTCCAACGACTTCCAACATCAACTTAAAAGCTCTTGCATTTGCTACGTTAAAAGCAACTCCACACGTATAAAAAAAGCGACCAATATATTGGATGGTTCTTGCCCTTGCTTCTTTATCACACGCATCATTGATGCTTGTGTCCTTACTCTTCTTATACACCAAATCCAACGGCCCCTTAGTCCTCTTGACAGCCATTGAAGAGGTCTCGCTCGCAACCATCCTCTTTCCGGTTTGAATTCTACGTATTTCCTTAATATCAATGGTATCATCCGCATCTAATTGCACCGAAACCTCTTGTATTCCTTTCTCAATTCTCTCCTTTTCAACCATGTCCGCGCGTAATATAGCCTTAACATCCTCGGGTGTTTTCGTGCAAGAAACTACATCACCGGTAATTGCTAATTGATGCCTTTTGGCTCTACTTATCCCCACTGCTAGTTAAATTACAAAAATCACATGTCACCTTCTTCTTGTTATTCAAATCCTTCAAATGATTGTATTTCCATCCTATGTCCTTACTATTGGTTGGTTTGAACGTTGGAGCACATGAAACAACCGATGCAGAATTCGGTGTCGACGAAGAAGCTGCCATATTTATCCGAAAACAGAGAATGAAATAGTACGAAAGAAGTATATTTACCCAAGGCTGGCTGAGAGTGGAACGGAGAAATGGAACGGAGAATTCCTTGCTGGCTGCTGCTGGAACAACGGAACGGAGAAGTAAAAGAGGGCTTGCGAACGGCGGAGATCTGAGACAAAAGTAGAAGAAGATGGAACAGTGGAGATTGGAGAAGATGTACTTGCTGGAACGGTGTATGTTGCTGTTGCTGCCTTGCTGGAAGCCTGGAACGGTGGAGAAGATGCACTTGTATGTTGCTGTTGCTGCCTTGCTGGAAGCCTGGAACGGTGGAGAAGATGCACTTGTATGTTGCTGTTGCTGCCTTGCCGGAACGGTGGAAGTGGAACAGTGGAGAAGAAGGACACAAAAATTAGGGCAGAAGAAAGTGAGAAAGTGAAACGAAGGAGAAAGAAAATATAATGCAAATCTGTTTTAAAAAGTATTTTAAAAGAGGGGTAAAACAGTAATTTTGTCAAAAAAAAAAAAACCAGGCCCGAACCGCTCCGCCCGGGAGGCGCCCGCTATCCGGGACCCGGGATAGCGGCGATAGCGCCCGCGATCTTCTCTCCGCCATTGCACCCTTGTGCGCGCGCGGCAGGCCTCCGCTCCGCTCTGGAGCGCCGCGATAGCGGCCGCTACGGGCGTTATTAACAACTCTGCGTGAGATGGTGTTTTAAGAGTCTCACTTCAATCGTGATATGACCTTAAAATATGTTCATAAGTGAGGGAAATTCTCATCTTATAAGCCGATTTTGTAAGGTTGAGTTAGGACGAGTCCAAATTCTAAGAATCTTAACCTAAAAATGTACTGTTATATGATATGAAATACAATTGATGCTGATTTGGCATAACCACAACTCTTATTGCCTTTCCCTTCATCACTTGCCTAAATTCAAATTCATGAATTTTCTTGTTTCAGGTCAATAAAATTTTGCTAGAAAAAACATTACATCTTTCATGTCATTTAAGATTTTATAACTGGTATCAATCTTGGCATTCCATCCCTGAACTGAATGCCACATTGCCCTCAAGGGTATTTTTAAGCTTCAACTTCCAATAGGTACTTATAGTAGAATAAATGATACATTTTAGGTTATAGTTAATAATGTAACTTCAACTTTTTACCTATCAGATGCAACTTCTACTTTTTACCTATCTGATGCAACTTGAACTTTGATACATTTAGGTTTTAGTTAACAATGGGAGGTTCAGTTTCTTGCATTATTGTTAATAATATAGTTATAGTAATCAAAGTGATTCTCCAATTCCTTCTTCCTATCACATGCAACTTTTTGTGGTTTGGTCAACTCAGCTTACTCTTAATCCCAACTGGTTTCCTATCCCTATTTAATATTTATAGAACCTCACAATTGATTGGGACAAGGTTGATTAATTTCTTTGTTTTGTTAGAAAGATAGAGAGAGTAGAGAAAGTTTGTTTCCATCTGTAACTACTTTCTGTTATTCATAAAAGCTTTTTTTACACAGATTACAAAGAGGTGACACCTGTTTATATAGGAACAGGGCACCGGTTACAGTAGGTAACCAAGAGGTGGAAACTGCCAGGTGGCAGTTTTCTACTATACAGCAATATCTTCTCTAATACCCCCCCCACAAACTCAGGAGGAGGCAACTACTCTGAGTTTGTGCCTAAGAGTCAAAAAAGCAGTGGAAGCTAATGGTTTAGTGAGCACATCAGCCCACTGATCCGTGCCTGGGATGTGCACAACTTGTAATTGTTTGCTAAGCACCTTTTCTCTGACAAAGAAGAGGTCAATCTCCATGTGCTTGGTCTTAGTATGCATAATAGGATTATGTGCCAGAAGAACTGCAGACTGGTTATCACAGAAAATCTGGGGAGTCTTGCAAGAGATGAATAGTTCCTGAAGAAGGGTTTGAATCCACAGCAAATCAGCTGCAGCATGAGCCATGCTTCTGAATTCAGATTCAGTGCTGGACCTAGCTACTACATGTTGCTTTTTGGACCACCAGGAGACCAAGTTAGGGCCAAAAAATATTGCAGCACCAGAGGTACTTCTTCTATCATCTGGGTCAGAGGCCCAGTCAGCATCACAGAACAGCTTAATAGTAGGTGAAGTAGAGGGTGTAAGAGCAGTCAGATGCAGGCCATGGGAGATGGTACCTTTGAGGTACCTCAAAATTCTTTTGACAGCCACCCAATGAGCTTCAAGAGGCTGTGCCATAAATTGACACACCTTGTTCACAGCATAGGCTATATCTGGCCTAGTGAGGGTGGCATATTGCAAAGCACCAACCACTGACCTGTACATAAAAGGATCAGTCAGTGGAGGTGAGCCCACCTTTGTAAGCTTGCAGGTAGATTGCATAGGGGTAGCTACAGGTGTACACTCCAGCATATTAGTCCTATGCAGTAAGTCTTTGATGTATTTGGACTGTGTGAGAAGCAAAGATTGAGAAGCAGTCTTGGTGACTTGAATACCAAGAAAGTAGTCCAGATCACCCAAATGCTTGAGAGAAAAGGAAACATTAAGCTTGGTGATGATAGACTGCAGTAAAGAGGAAGAGCTGCCAGTAATAATAATGTCATCTACATAGACAAGTAGATAGACAGTATGGCCTCCTTCAAAATAAGTGAAGAGTGAAGGATCACACTTACTAGGATGAAACTTAAGCTGCACAAGAGCTGTTTGAAGTCTCTCAAACCATTGCCTAGGGGCTTGTTTGAGGCCATAGATTGCTTTATTCAATCTGCACACCAATGAAGAGTCAGAGTGCTCAAAACCTTGAGGCTGAACCATATAAACTTCTTCATCAAGTAATCCATTGAGGAAAGCATTGTTGACATCCAGCTGTTGTATGGACCAGTTGTAGGTAAGAGCAATAGACAGAATAATCCTGATTGTAATGGGTTTAACAACTGGAGAAAATGTCTCATTAAAATCAAACCCTTCCCTTTGATGAAAACCTTTTGCAACAAGTCTTGCTTTATACTTATTAATGGAGCCATCAGGGTTTTCCTTGACACGAAATACCCACTTGCTGCCAATAGCTTGCCTATGAGGTGGCAGAGGTACAAGAGTCCAAGTGTTGTTGGAAATTAGGGCATTATACTCTGCTTGCATAGCGGCCAGCCACTGAGCACTAGCAAGAGCCTGTTTTACTGACTTAGGTTCAGCAACTGTCAATAAAACCCTAGGTTCCAGTCTAGGTTGTCTGAAGCCAGCTTTGGCTCTTGTGGTCATGGAATGATGATTAATGGGAACAGCTGATACAGGTACTGCTTTGGGAGGAATGGTGACAGAATCTGGTGCTAAATTCTCATTTGTTTGACTGACAGACTGAGAAGAGGACTCATCAGTGGCAGTAGAGGTGGTGTGCTGAAGAGATTCAGAAGGAGCAGGGCTACCAGAAGATCCCACAGGAGAGGAATGAGTACCTGCAGCAGAATGAGAAGACACAGAAGATGTAGCAGAAGGAGGACTAGACTGACTATTAAAGGGCATTGTGGGAGCAGATGAAGGACCAACAGAAGGAGAAAGAATAGATGATGGAGTGGTGAAAATAGGTAAAGGAGAGAGAGAGACATGAGAAGAAGTATTAGGAGGCAGAATAGGTTTAGTGGTGGAGAATAAATCAAGGTAAGGAAACCTTGACTCATTAAACAAAACATCCTTAGAAATGTAGACTTTACCACATGGAGAGAGGCATCTATAGCCTTTGTGAGATGTTGAGTAGCCTAGAAACAGACATTCATGAGACCTGAAATTAAACTTATGAGTAGAATAGGGTCTTAGAAGAGGAAAACAAGCACTACCAAACACCTTGAGAAAGGAATAGTCAGGTTTGATCCCAAAGAGTAAGGAATAGGGCACCTGAGAACCAACAGAAGCTGAAGGGAGTCTATTGATCAAATAGACAGCAGTGGAGAAGGCAAAGTCCCAATAGGGCAGAGGCATAGATGCCTGACTTAGCAAGGTAAGTCCTGTATCCACTATATGTCTATGCTTTCTTTCAATCACACCATTTTGGTGATGAGTGTGAGGGCAGGCAACTCTGTGGACAATGCCCAGTTCTGAAAGAAGCTTATTAAATGGTCTGAATTCACCCCCCCAGTCAGATTGAAAAGCCTTAATGGAGCAGCCAAGTTGTAATTCAACCAGAACCTTAAATTGTTTGAAAATAGACAGTGCCTCAGCTTTAGATTTCAGAAAATAAATCCAAGTGAATTTGGAAAAGGCATCCACAAATGACATGTAGTACTTGAAGCCTAATGTAGACACATTAGGAGAAGGTCCCCATAAGTCTCCATACACTAATTCTAAAGGTCTGGTGTAAGTAGTGTGTGATGGTGATGATGGAAGTCTATGAGACTTACCCATACAACAAGCAGTACAGAAAAAATCCAACTCTTTATTACTGAATGAAACATTACAACTGTTGAGTACAAGTTTAAGTGTCTGAATGTTAGGATGCCCTAACCTTAAGTGCCACTTATTTGAAGTACTAAATCTATCAACATGAGATGAAACTACAGCAGAATTAATACTAGGAGCTGAAGCCTGAGAGCTGGAACTGGTGGAAACCACAGAGCTGGACTTAGACAAGTCAATAGGAGGGAACACATACAAGCCATCAGGACCAACTGAACCCTCTAGGAGAACTTCATGAGATGCCTGGGATTTAACAAGACATTTGTCAGAGGTAAACAGAAAATAAACAGCATTATCTAGGCAAAATTGACTGACACTAATTAAATTCTTAGTAATAGAGGGAATAAGCATGAGCTTATGGAGCATAAGAGGTGTATGAGACTGTGAAGGTGACTGGAATTGACTAGTGCCAGAGGAAGTGATAGTCAAACCTTGCCCGTTTCCAATCAGGATTTGATCATGACCTTCAATAGGAACCAGCTGTTGAAGATTCTTAGGGTCATTTGTTACATGATATGAAGCACCAGAATCAGGATACCAGGCACTGTTAGCAGAGGCTGTAGATGCAGCTTGAGCAACATAAGCACTAGGTGCTGCACCAGCAGGAGCAGCTCTATAGACAGCTTGAGGCCTGGTCCAAGCATGTGAAGCCTGCACAGCCATAGGAGTAGGAGAGGTAGTCCAGGCTTGATTGTTGTAGGCAGTACCATAGGTAGGCTGAAACTGCTGGTTGAATCGATGCCAGCAATTGAGAGCTGTGTGGCCAGGTTTGGAGCAAACTTGGCACTGAATAGTAGAGGAGAATCTCCCACCTCTACCCCTGCCTGAACGTCCACCTCTGAAGGAACGACCACCACGAAAGTGTGAAGCATCAGAATCAGAGGACTGGACTTGTGTAGGAGACTGAGATTCCGTAGTGGCAACTACACTCTCATCAGGAGTGGATTGAGCGGGAGTAGAGTGCGTAAGATTGAGAGAAACAAGATCAGGTGTTGAAACCTTTTTGAACTTGTTTAGGCGAAGTTCGTGAGCAAGGAGAAGAATCTCCACTTCATCAAGATCCATTACTCCAAACTTACTTTCAATGACAGAAATAACAGGTGCAAAATCTGATGGAAGTCCTTCAAGAATCACATCAATGTGATGTGACGCAGGCACCGGATCTCCAATAGATGCAAGAGCATCAACAGTATTGCGAATCTTGAGCAGAAATTCTTGAACCGTGGAATTCTCCAAGGAAATCGTTCGTAACTCAACACGAAGTTGACGAGCGCGTGCTCGCGTCTGCTTCTGAAAGTAGTTAAAGAGACGATCCCAAAGCTCATGAGCATGAGAACAGCCAAGGACACGAGAGAGGATTTCACTGGATAGCGTGGATTGCAACCAAGAGAGCAACATTTGATCCTTCTGCAACCATCGCGAATACTCTGGATTGATAGATCCAGACGCACGAGCAGCATCATCAAGAAACTGAAGCGGAATTCGTGAACAAACGACGAACTCAGTGAGTCCGTGAGCGTTGATATACGGTTCGATTTGTTGTCGCCAGAGGTGAAAATTCTTTTCATCAAGTTTCTGTGCGATCTTGAGCGAGAAGTGTAGACGATTCGAATCGTCTTGCGTGTGAAGCTGCGACATTGCCGTCGCACCGGACGGAGTGCGTTCCGGAGTTCGTTCCGGCGAGTTTGGTGACGCCATCGGAGCAAGGAAGAAGATGGATCGAAGGCTTAATCTGATACCATGTTAGAAAGATAGAGAGAGTAGAGAAAGTTTGTTTCCATCTGTAACTACTTTCTGTTATTCATAAAAGCTTTTTTTACACAGATTACAAAGAGGTGACACCTGTTTATATAGGAACAGGGCACCGGTTACAGTAGGTAACCAAGAGGTGGAAACTGCCAGGTGGCAGTTTTCTACTATACAGCAATATCTTCTCTAATATGTTTGTATGACATAATTTCTTTGTTTATTTGGCCTAACAATCTGATATTTTAGTATGATAGCTATTTGTCAAAGCATGGTGGCTCTTCAAATGCGTACACAGAAACTGAATATACATGCTACCATTTTGAAGTGAAGCGTGAGTTTCTAAAGGGTGCATTGAAAAGGTAAATTCTGCTATGCTTTGTCTTTCAATATTTCCTGTCTAATACATGATTTTAGACATCGCTTTTTGCAGAGCGGTTCTGTTTCCACTAGCCTTTCAATTGTCATTTAATTTTATACTATATGGTGATGTGTGGATGTAAAATGCATTGTATGTGTAATGAATTTTAGCTACTGCAGATTTATAGACGTATAATACATTCTGTTTTTACATTTATTAGATTATTACATTACCGGTCACAAATGTTGTAAAGCATAAAAAGCATGAAACAAAATTAGTACGCTTTAGAATACAATACCTTATGATATATGAAGCACAGACTCCGACACGGACACAAACACTCTTACACCGATATATAAAAAATCTAGGACACCGACACCGCTATATATGTCATAGTATTTGAGTTTCATTTATTCATCTAATATCAAAAGAGTTAAAAATATTCTAATCAAAATTAATGTCTTTAGTTCTTCATTGATAACATTGCTTCAATACATGTTTAACCCTTTTAATCCTACGTGAGATTTGTCAAGAAAATGTATAAAGTGTGTTGAGGAAAAGAAAAACACAACTTTTAAAAAGAAAACTTGTCTGAATTATCGGACACGTGTTGTATGAGTGTCATATGAGTATCAGATTCCGATTCAAAATGTGTCAAAGCAAAGTAAAAAACCAATTTTTGGGAGACACTTGTCTGACTTTTCCGACACTTGTTTGACTTTTCCGTCACATGTCGTACGGGTGTCATACAAGTGTCGGACACCGCGACACGCCTACTTCTAGAGTTGTTGGTGCTTTATGATTATCAGTCTTGTAAATTTGATCCTGTATTATCTGTTATTTTAGTAATCTCAGCATTTGTTGAAATATTTGACCTTTATAATATAGATTATCAATCCAATCACCTTGGTTCTATATACGAACTATTTTAATTTTAACAGTCTTAATGTCTATGGTAAATTATCTTCTGGAAATTGGGAGCTCTTGTGAAGTCGTGACATATTAATATTTTAATTTATTGATTTCTATTTTTTGGCAGATTTTCTCAGTTTTTTATATCTCCTCTTGTAAAAGCGGAGGCCATGGAGCGAGAAGTACAAGCAGTAGATTCAGGTATTTATTATTTTAAATTTTAATCCTATGTTATGGATTTCCATTTTAGCCTTTCTTTTTGAGATTTTTTTTCTTCTGTAAATGCTCCAATGCATATCTGCCAGTTTGCTGATGAATTATGTTTTATTCTATAATTGTATACCATAACGGTGTACAAAACTGAACATAGAATTTAACCAGGTTTTACAAAGTGATGCTTGCCGTCTTCAACAACTTCAGTGCCATACTTCTACACCTAAGCACCCTTTGAATAAATTCTTTTGGGGTATGTTGTATTATGTTACTCATTCATTTATTGATCATTTAGTTATTTAGATTGTTTTGTATAACGAAAATGCTATTCATTTAATTTTTGATGCACTTGAAGGGAATAAAAAGAGCCTGGTTGATGCAATGGAAAAGGGTATTGATCTGCGGGACCAAATATTGAAATTATACAAGAATTTTTACCATGGCGGATTAATGAAGCTTGTTGTTATTGGTGGAGGTAAACCTCTATTCCATTACCTTTTATAAGGAATGAGGAAGTTTATCAATTTTTTAGACATATTTAGTACAGCATAATAAAACAAAAATATTCATAATAATCGGAAATCCTGTCCCTAAAAGAATTTGGACTTCAGACTTCAATTTTTTAAATTACAAATGTAGTTATTATAATCAAAATATATTGGAAATGCAATAAACCTTCAGAAGACATTATTAATATATAATGCGTATCTCGCTTTGCTAGCTTAAAACTTATCTTACTTCAAAAGACATTATTAATTATAAATGGGGGAAACCAAAAAAAAGTTTCATGCAGCAATCTTAAATTTTTATTCATTATATATGGGGGAAGCCCAAAATTGTTAGCATATATAATTTCTTTTCCACTACTTGTTCTATTTGTATAATTCGTTTTTTCTGGATGAGCCTTGTTTTTTCTAGTTAGTATCTTATATTGTAATGTTATGCAATTAATTTGGCTTATTCAGCACTCAGAAACAGAGGGTTTATTCTAATGGCTCTTGTAGGGTCAAAACCAACTTATGATGGTTTGATTTTAATGATATGCTAAAAATAATACAGAGTCCCTGGATGTGCTCGAGAGTTGGGCTGTGGAACTATTTGGTGCTGTTAAAAAGGGTCCCCAAACATACCCAAAGTTCATAGTGGAAGGTCCAATATGGAAACCTGGTAAAATTTATCGGCTAGAAGCTGTCAAAGATGTTCATATTCTCGACTTATCGTGGACACTGCCTTGTCTAAACCAAGAGTACCTAAAGAAACCAGAGGATTATTTGGCTCATCTCCTCGGGCATGGTATGATATCTTATTATGGGTGAATTTTAGAAAGTTGTGACTTTTCTATTGTATACATGTATAACATAATTAAAAGTGGTAATCTATTGATTAAACCTAGAAGTGTAAGATTGGACACTTTATTGTTGAATTTCATTAACAATTTAATTAACCTTTTAGAGGGCAGAGGAAGCTTGCTTTCCTTTCTCAAGGCTAAAGGATGGGCTACATCTCTATCTGCCGGTGTTGGCGATGACGGAGTTTTTCGTTCATCAATAGCTTATGTCTTTGTCATGTCCATACACCTCACTGATTCTGGTGTAGAAAAGGTAATCACATTTTCTTAACTTGCACAGGCCCTTCATTCGAGAGAAAGATTGTGTTTTTGTTGAGCTATCACTTGTCTAACTCAATGCTGTGATGATATTCTTTTGCATCTGATGAGATCAATTCAGTTTCAATTTTGTTAATATTTAGAGATTTTAAACTTTTCATTAATAAACTATGAAAATGTGAGATTTATGGAACAGTGGAAGCATTATTGACCATTTGTTTGTAAAAGTAATTATTTGTTTGATACTTACATTCACGTTTCAATGTTATTTTTTTTTCTCAATATAGCTTAACTTTTTTTCCCCTCACCTCCCAGATTTTCGATATTATTGGCGCTGTCTATCAATACCTTAATTTGTTGCATGAAAATTCTCCACAAGAATGGATATTTAAGGAACTTCAAAATATCGGAAACATGGAATTCAGATTTGCTGAAGAGCAGCCTCAAGATGATTATGCTGCAGAGCTTGCAGGTTAGGGTTTATATATAATAGAGATAAATCAATAATCTTTTATTGTTGGTATTGTAAAATGGGACGATGATTTTTGGCTAAAAGGGGAGTATAATTTTGTACAATTTCATCTTCTATAGTGACTTGTTCTAATTATTTTATTGTGCAGAAAATTTGAAATTCTATCCAGCAGAGGATGTCATTTATGGTGACTACGTGTACAAGACATGGGATGAGCAGTTGATAAAACAAGTTCTCAGTTTCTTCCGCCCTGACAACATGAGGGTGGATGTTGTCTCAAAGTTGATTCGTAACTCAGAAGGTGAGTTCTTTTTTCTACCTTGTCTAATCTGCAATTGCATATAGATCTTTTTCCATTTTACATCATTGTGATAGAATCTTGCTATTTCATTAGAAAATATTGGGAGGAATTTTCATGATTCCAAAATAAAATACATTTCTTTAATTATCTGCTCATCCATATTGGGAATAATTTTCTTCAAATCACTTGATATCTCCCTCCAGACCTCTCTTGTTATTCATATAGATCGTAACATGGATAGCTAACATGGTCTTAACTATTATCAAATTACAATTTGGGGTTTAGTCATTAACACATTGAATAATGCACTAAAGTCAAAGTTAGTGTGTATGTTCATGTTCATATGCTTTAATAAATACTTATTCAGTAATGATACTGCAATTGGTTTTTTGTGTGGCTTTACTCCGTGATTTATTTGTTTAGACTGTGTTTGGAAAGCATCATATTCATGGTGTCACTTTACGGCTGTGTCGAAGTCACAACTACTAACCACGCTGAACGTGCGTCACAACATTTCTCCTGTGTTTCTAAACGCCTATGCATATAATACTCGTTGTCTTGAAGAAAGTATTAGATCAGAATGTTTATAAGTTTTTGCTGTATGAGTGAATTCTGAGTTTGCGAAGGTCTCATTGAACCTCAAATTCTTTTTGAATGTTAGATCAAAATGTTTAGATGGATGAGTAGTCCCAGAAGATGCAATTGTTAATGCCATTATTAGAGAAAATTTTTTGGTAGCTCTCTCTATTTGAGAAAACATGGTAGAATATTTTTTAAATGGTTTGAACATGTGTGCAGAATACTTATATAAGCGTTGCCAATGAGGGTTGGTTAGATTGGAGGATAGCCCAGTAGTTAGAGGGAGAACAAGAAAACTAATCCATCCATTAAGAGCGATTTAGTGATAAACAGTTTATCATTAAGTTAATAAGGCATCAACTGTTCATGTAGCTGACCCTACTTAGTAGGGTACTATTTGGATTATTGTTGTAAATATTAGTGTTGCAAGATACATTTTCACAAAGATGATTGAACTAATTGTTTTATTCTTTTCAGATTTCAAACATGAACCTTGGTTTGGTTCACGTTATGTTGAAGAAGATATCCCTCAAGATTTGATTGATTTATGGAGAAATCCTCTAGAAGTTGACGCCTCTCTACATCTTCCATCCAAGAATGAGTTTATTCCAAGTGACTTTTCTATACGGGCAAGTGACACGCGTGGTGATGATTTTGAAATTTTGACTTTTCCTAGGTGTATAGTTGATGAAGCTTTGATAAAATTTTGGTATAAGCTGGACCGTACTTTCAGAGTTCCTCGAGCCGATACATATTTCCGTATCAACTTGAAAGGTGGATATGCCAATGCAAAGAACTGTGTATTGTCTGAATTGTTCATTCACCTTCTTAAAGACGAGTTGAATGAAATTATATATCAGGTTAGTTAATTATATTTTTCATAAGAAACAGAAGTGGACTATAAATGAAGATAGGAGATTTCTCCACCGTTGTGTTTCTATTTGATTTGCTTATTATATAATATTAATAAAAAAGTAGAAGTACATAATTTTAGTATAAGTTTTCTAGATTAATTATTGCTTAATCAAAGTATGAGTACCCCATATAAAGCTGATCAATAGTGAACATCATTATTACAGTTGTGGCCATTGACACTCCTATCTAGCTAGCTACTTTTAATTGATTTTTCCTAAATAATCAACCTTGAAATTACATTACTATTGAATTAGGAGAGACTGAGAGACATTTAGGTTAAACCGTGTGTTTTGAAAGCACTACGGAGACTTTATTACATATAGAGAGATTAAAACTAATTACACTATATAATCAATGTGAGACTATTCTACATACAAATATTCTTAAGATTATATATTTACAAATATCAACACTCCCCCTCAAGCTGGAGCATATAAGTTAAATGCACCAAGTTTGCCACATATATAATTAGTTCTGGGGCTTCGCAGAGATTTTGTAAACACACCTGCCAATTGATCATTAGAGTTGACAAAGTTTGTGACGATGTCGCCAGATTCAATCTTCTCTGACAAAGTGACAGTCAAATCTCAATATGTTTGGTCCTCTCATGGAAGATTGGATTTGAAGCAATGTGCAATGCAGCTTGATTATCACATACAAGTGTCATTGGTCTTGCTTCTTCAATTTTAAGTTCTTTGAGCAACTGTTTTAATCAAATGAGTTCACATGTTGCTATTGTCATGGCCCTATACTCTGCCTCGGCGCTTGATCTTGCAACCACATTTTGTTTCTTACTTTTCCAAGATATAAGGTTTCCTCCAACAAGTACACAATATTCAGAGGTGGATCGTCTATCAATTGGTGACCCTGCCCAATCAGCATCAGAGTATCCAACTATCTGAGTATGTCCTTTATCTTCATACACTAAACCTTTTCCTGGAGCACATTTGATGTATCTTAGAATCCGGATAACAACATCCATGTGTTCCTGACAAGGGGAATTTAAGAACTGGCTTACCACACTCACTGCAAAAGAAATGTCTGGACGAGTGACTGTGAGATAATTCAACTTTCCAACCAATCTCCTATACCTTCCCGAGTCTGATAGAGGCTCCCCCTGATTGGGTAGTAGTTTGACACTTGAATCCATAGGAGTATCAACTGGTTTAACATTCAACAAACCTGTTTCTTCCAAAATATCCATAGCATATTTACGCTGAGAAATCACCAAACCATCTTTAGATTGGGCTACCTCAATACCCAAGAAATATCAGAGTTTACCAAGATCTTTTGTCTGAATTTGATTTGAAAGATGTTGTTTCAACTGGAGTATTCCCGACTCATCACTACCAGTTATGACAATATCATCTACATACACAATAAGATAAATACACCATTGGACTGAGTGATGATAAAAAACAGAATGATCAGCTTCACTACGGACCATACCAAATTGTTGTACTACAGTGCTGAATCTGCCAAACGAAGCTCTCGGAGATTGCACAAGACCATAAAGAGACCTGTGTAGCTTACAAACCATATTCGATTACTCCCCCTGAGCAATAAACCCATGTGGTTGCTCCATATATACTTCCTCTTCAAGATCACCATGTAAAAAAGCATTTTTGATGTCAAGTTGATGAAGAGGCCAATGTCGAATGGCTGCAATGGCTATAAGAAGTCTAACAGATGCCATCTTGGCTACAGGCGAGAAGGTATCACTATAACTCAATCCAAAAATTTGAGTGTATCCCTTGGCTACCAAGCGAGCTTTAAAACGATCAATCTTACCATATGGACCAACCTTTACTGTATGAAGCCAATGACAACCTACTAAAGATTTTCCAGTGGGTAGAGGAACCAGTTCCCAGGTACCACTGCTTTGAAGAGCACACATTTCATCAATCATTGTTTGCCTCCACTCAGGGTGAGATAATGCTTCACCTGGAGATTTAGGAATAGAAACAGAAGACAAAGAGGACAAACAAGTATACTGCAAAGGGGAAAGACGATGATAACATAAATCAATATAATGTGGAGAAGGATTTCGTGTTTGACGTATACCTTTGTGAAGGACAATCGAAAGATCAGACTCAGGTTGCAGGATCGAATCCGGTGATGGCGATATCGTCGGAGGAGAGTCTGCAATGACCTTAGGGACAAGCACGACCTCAGGGACATGTACAACCTCAGGGACAAGTATGACATACGTTGGTTTACGACGCTGATATGTTTGAAGTGGGCGAGAAGTCGGGGGTCAACCGTAGGGGTTTCTCGTGGGACAGGTTCCCTAGAATGATGGGGAATAATGGGAAATGGGACGTCCGGAAGAGGTGTGAGAGTACTTTCCTGAAGGGGTTCCGGAGTGACTTGGATGGACGCAAAATATGGCACAGTCTCGAAGAAGGTAACATCGGTCGATATCAGGTATCGTTGCAGAGTGTGTGAGTAGCAACGATAACCCTTTTGGGATCGATGATAATTAAGAAAGACACTTTAGTGATCGAGCTGATAGTTTATAAAGACCAGGGGAGAGATTATGCACAAAACATGTAGACCCGAAGACTCGAGGAAGAATTGGGTGAAGAGGAGAGTTTGGAAACAAGATTGAATGAGGGATTTTATTATTAAGGATAGATGAGGGCATGCGATTTATGAGATAACACGCCGTGAGCACAACATCCCCCCAAGATCTGAGAGGGACATTACCATGGAGAAGTAGAGTCCGAGTGGTTTCTACGAGATGCCGGTTTTTGCGTTCGGCTACTCCGTTTTGTTGAGGTGTATGAGGGCAAGATGTTTGATGTAGAATACCATTGGATGACATAAAAGTTTGAAATTGTTGGGATAAATATTCAAGTGCATTGTCACTTCTTAGGGTATGAATGGACAAACCAAATTGGGTTCTTATTTCTCGATAAAATTGTTCAAAAATAGAAAATAAGTGGAGAATGCTTGGTACTGCGCTTGGAGGTTAGGTGCTACGGAAAACCACAACACAGTACACAAAGAGGCATCCGTTTTCTTCCATTTAGCGAGTTTGACGGCTACAACGTCACTCAATTGGGTGGTTAGATGCTCTTCATATCCTTGACCGTGAAACCACATCTCGACAGCACGAGCCCATATGTTATAATTGGCTGATCCAATTAGTTTTTCACATGGGATAAACGGAACTTTAGTAAACGAGACAGAATCAGCATCTTCCATGGCTTAAAACACAACAACTGGGTCTGTTTGAACAAGAGTACGACTTTCTGTGAGTTGAAAACGTAAACCGAGGGCGGATCTGGAACCGGAGGAGGAAGGCGATTTTCCGGGAAAATATATATATATTTTTTTCGTGAACAGTAGCGGCGGCGGTGAACAGTGCGGCGGCGGTGAACAGTTACAACGGCGAAGAATTGCCTCTTAGAAGGCTCTAGATACCATTTTGAATTAGGAGAGACTAAGAGACATTTAGGTTAAACTGTGTGTTTTGAAAGCACTACATAGACTTTATTATATATAGAAAGATTAAAACTAATTACACTATATAATCAATGTGAGACTATTCTACATACAAATATTCTTAACATTATATATTTACAAATATCAACAATTACAATTGGCATTTTTTGTTCGAAAATTTGGTACCCTAGATGGTTTACCTTGCATTAACTGGTTGCCTAATTTAACAGACTTTGGTTTATTGTTAGGAGTTTGTTATTCAGTTAATCAGTGTAAAGCTTGCTCGACTAGCTTACCAGTTCTATATATGCAGTTTTCTGTATTATTCTGATGTGAATAACATTTTCTGAATTTTCAGATTATAATCTTTTTTCATTTCTCAACTCTAGAATACTAATACTTTCTTCAATATCACATGATTTGAATTTAAAACTTATTTGCAATTAAGAAATTTCAATGTGAAATGTCGTGCGGGAGTTTTTTTGGATCTATTCTATATATATTTGTGTATGAGTTTGTGTCTATGTGTGCAGGCTAGTGTTGCCAAGTTAGAAACTTCCGTCTCTTATGTTGGTGATATGCTTGAGCTGAAGGTCTATGGTTTTAATGAGAAGCTACCTGTTCTTCTATCAAAGGTTTTGTCAGCTGCTAGATCTTTTATACCAACTGATGATCGGTATAAGGTGAGTGACATGCTTGTGTCAATTTCATAAAGGGGAAATTCCACAAACTTCTATTTTTAAAATGAATACACACCTCTATTTTGTATAACAGAGGGTAGGTGTGTGTAATTGAGGGAAGATCAATGTCTTTTATAGAATAGAGGCAATTTTTATGTTTTCATTCTTTGTTCCGATTGACCAATACTTATTTAAACAGGTAATAAAAGAAGACATGGAGAGAACTTTAAAGAATTCCAACATGAAGCCTCTAAGCCATTCATCATATTTGAGATTGCAAGTTTTGTGTGAGAGCTTTTATGACGTTGACGAAAAGATGCATTATCTAAATGATCTGTCAATTGATGATCTGAAGGCATTTATACCCGAGCTTCGATCACAGGTTTAAATGAAATATTTGATATTGGCATTTTAGTTATATTATTTGCCGTTAATTGATTAGTAAACTCGGACTCCATGATGAACTTGTATAAGTCAACCATGGTTTATTATCATTTTTTATTTGATTGGTTGTCTTCAATATATTGTGAAATTGTTGGATAGTTATTATTTTTTGTCTCGACTTCTTACAGTTATATATTGAGGGTCTATGCCATGGAAATATGTCAGAAGAAGAAGCGATAAACATATCCAATATATTTAAGACGAATTTTCCAGTAGATCCACTCCCTATCGAGTCGAGGCATGCTGAGCGTGTAATTTGTCTCCCTTCGAGTGCCAATTTAGTTAGAGATATAAATGTGAAGAACACGTTGGAAAAAAACTCTGTGATTGAGGTAATTTCAGTTTGGTTGGTTGTTATTTGTGTTTCATCAACATGTTCCTTATAAGACTCATTTTCAATAATTTCTCTCAAGTTTTTCCACTTCTTGTTTTGATTTTGCTATTTATGCAGCTTTATTTTCAAATTGAAGAAGATACTGGATTGGGTTCAACAAAGTTGAAAGCTTTGATCGATCTGTTTGAAGAAATTGTTGAGGAGCCACTTTTTAATCAATTGAGGTAACAATATGATGCTAGAAGTATCTCCTGCCATTTTGTTAGTTTGGGGCTGAAATTCTTGATATGTAACTGGATACAGGACGAAGGAGCAGCTTGGTTATGTTGTTGAATGTAGCCCGAGAGTAACATACCGTGTTTTTGGGTTTTGTTTCTGTATTCAGTCATCTGAGTACAACCCAATTTATTTGCAAGGTAGAGTTGAAAGCTTCATAAATGACCTGGAAGAATTGTTGGTAAGTGTTCGTTATTCAATGGCATTTTTCATGAAGTAGGTCAATATAAACATGTTAGATCATCATAGGAAACTTCTGACCAGTTTTAGGATTTCCATGTCGAAAATATTTGGCTGAAATCTATGTTTTGCTAAATGAAGACTTGTGTTTTGAAGAAATGTTTTGCTATTGCAGGATGGCCTTGATGACGAATCCTTTGAAAATTATAAAAATGGTTTAATGGCAAAGCTGTTGGAGAAGGATCCATCTCTCACATATGAAAGCAATAGACTGTGGAACCAGATTATTGATAAAAGGTACTTCGCATATTTTATAGACTTTTGTTAAAGTTATTAATAACTTTGTTTGATAAAGTATCATAACCACCTGTGAGTATTCCTACATGGCTCAGCTGGTTGATATCTTTTCTTAAGACATAAATGCTTATATGATAAGCACTTAATTTATCTGTTTAGCCAAACACATAGTTAGAAATGTATGAAATTGTAAAGATGCCTTATGCAGTATTTGTTATGCTTTGTTCATGCAATGGTGGTTTATTTGATGATAAATGTTGTAAATTTTCAGGTACATTTTCGATATATCAAAGAGAGAAGCTGAAGAGCTAAAGAACATAACCAAGCTTGATGTTATTGAGTGGTACAAGACATATTTGAAACAATCATCTCCGAAGTGTCGGAGACTACTTGTTCGGGTATGGGGTTGCAACACAGATATGAAGGAAGCTGAAGCACCACCCGAATCTGTGCATGTCATAACAGATCCAGCAGTTTTTAAGAAGCAATCCAAATTTTATTCAAGTTTTTGTTAAATTTAAATGTTGAAATACATATTTTTTTGCATGAAAGAAATGTTTGAGGGGAAAACTATGCGGAATGCGTTTCGTAGAGTTATTGGTTGCTGTAAATTATATTGATTTTTTGGGAATTAGTCATTCATTTTATCAATAAGTTATTGTAATCCAATTGTGTATGAGCTCTCTCTTATGGGACCTAGTACATTTATTATAACCTTGTGGTGTGGTATCAGGCGTTTTACGTAGCTTGATTTGGATCCCTTTTTGATAACCGAAACACAAATTATAATTTTTTTATTAATATTAATATTATAAAATATTATAAAATAATAGGTTGAAAGTAATATATATTAATAATTAAAATTATAAAATGAGAATTATTGATTTTGTTTGAAAGAAACGAAATATAAAAAATAAATAGATCAAATAAACTAATAAATAGTATTAAAACCAAGTAAATATTAAGAAATAATAAATTGATTAGTAACACTTTGGTCATTCTTATATCTTTATATTTTATTAATCACTCAAATACAATAGTAAAAAAGGGTTTTTACACTTCCTCTTTGAATTGATTAGATTTGATATAGTTTATTTGATTGACGCCATCATCAAGGATTATTAGAGTAGAGATTGTTAGATGAGAGAATTGAATTCACTTACTAACATGATTATGTATGAGGAAGATGATGAACATGTATAGAGTAGTTTAAATTTAACTTGATTCTCTTGTGATCAATTCATGTTATTGAATAAACCTTAGTTTATGAGTATTTATACAATATAATTAGGTGATGAACTTAGTTACATTCTTAACTAATTTCATAGTCACTCTAACTAACTTTAGCATGCACTCGAACAAACCAATCTACTAGTATCAGTAATAGAGATCATGAGAGACTTCATCGAATGCTGTTTGATACCGAGTGTTGTTCTCTTTGAGTCTCGGTTAATATGTATCTTACAGAAGCATCTTCAACAGAACATATTGATCATTGCTGGACTTCACATCATGCTGTTTGATATACAGTCATAGGCGGAGCTAGCGCCTGGCCAAGTAGGGCAGCTGCCTCCGCCCGGCTATGTTTCACCATCCCGCACCTGAGATCTACCATGACCACCGGCCATGCTTCACCATCCCGCGCCAGAGATCTACGATGACCATCCCCGCCACACCATACTGCAAACAGATGCACACTGTGGCTCCACTCTTGTCGTTTCAGTTTTCTTTGAGCTTCCCCGATAAAATGTCTTTGTCGGTTCTTTCCTCTTTTTGTTTCTCTTTCAGTTGAATTCTCGCTGCAGCATTGTTGTCGTGTTGTTATTTATTGCAGATTGTGGTTGACTAATTGATGGAGAATTGTTGTTGAATTTGTCGTTTTTCTCTATGCCCACCAAGTGTTCGGTAAAAGTTCTGAACACCTCTATTTTCATTCTTTCTCTACCAAATCTTCTTGAAATTTGCTTCTTTTTGTACCCTCTGATTCTTCGGTTTTGTTCTCAAAACCAATGGGTTTTTCCTTCTAACTTTGAAGCTGTGACTTGGAAAAGTAGATGAGAGGTTGTTCCTAGAAGCTCCATGTCTCAGAAATGGCTGGTTTTCTTGTGTATTGGAAGCTTCTGTGCTGGCATGTTTTTCACCAACAGGTACATGAAATTTCTATGTTCTTGTTATGTTTTCTATATTGTTAATAGATAATTCATAATTTCTCCATCATGTGTTTTTAGATCTTTAAAATAATATTCAAGACTTGTTTTCTATACTTAATTCATTTGAGTTATTGGTATTTCTGAATTTCTGTATGTCATTTTCTTGATCCTGGGGTCTTTGACAGGTGAATTTCAAGAGAGAAGTACTTTTCTCTTCATTCAACCTTTTGTGTATCGTTGCCCCTCGACAATTTTGCAGTCTGAGAAACCAGAGGCATATAAGAAAAATCGTTATAATTATGTGCAAGAATAGCAGTAACGTAACATCTGTTGCATGCATTTGTTACCACCTTCATAGATAAATAGTTTGCTTTCTTTTGATTTCCACCAACTTGGAGGCAAGGAATTGGTGTGTGTTTAATAGTGAAACCATAAATGTATCAGTCCGAAAAGACAAAAACAAGCCAATATAGAGAAGTCGTGACAAAGGCTAGCAGTTCATGAAAGATTAACCATACATTTTGTGTCTTGTGTCATACTTCATTATGAACTATATGTTTGTCAATTCAATTATCGATCCTTACAATTTCATAGTTTTCTTTACATACTAAAAACATTTAGCTTCACTAAAAATATACTTGACCAATTTTCTGGAATTATAATGTTATTGAAACTTATAAAATAACCAAAAAAATTGTTTTGTTTTGTCTTGATGAAACTAATTGAATTTGTTCCATACTAATTATCTATTCCAAATATAAGTATTGTTTATACTACTATTACTTGTTCACTCTATTGGTTAGTCAATAAAAAAGAAATGCTAGAGTTAGCAACACAGACTATACATGAAATTTCTATATTCTTGTTCTGTTTTCTATTTCTTAATTGATTTGAGTTATTGGTATTACTGAATTTTTGTAATTTGGATAGTAGGACAGCTTGTTAGTCGATTATCTACGAATTCTACATAATCTAGATTATTTAATTATTAATCTAGATATGATATCAGAAAATTATTATGTCAATACTGTCAAAATATTATTACACTTACTAGAGTGTTTATCTGTTACGATTCGTCAAAAAAATATTATGTCAAATACTGTCTTAGTAGAAAATTATGAAGCCAATGGAAATTTGCCCAGACTTCATAATTTTTCTAACTTCGCCACTGTATATAGAGTTGTCATAATCAAAACCATCGCAAATATTTGACGATCGTAGATAATTGTATATGCAAACACATAAAAAATTTGCACTTTAAGGCACACTATGCTTGCTGGTGTGCTAGTCTAATGTTTAATGTTATAAGTGTTCTTGTAGATTCATCCTCCCATTGTACTCTACCATAATGAGTAGAAAAACTACTTTGGTATTTGTTTGTCACTGATTTTTTTAGTGAAGTGAAAAAAACTTTCGCACCTCTTATGTCCAAGAATCATTTAGAGGAGACATTTCGTATAGAATATCATTTATGAACACATGTTCAGGCCATATATTATCCGATGTGGGGCTCTTAACACACTCCCTCACACTCAGGACTAGACAACCCTACAAAACCGGCTTGTAGGGTGAGGATTGCCCCCACTTATAAATACATGTTCAGACCATATATTATCCGATGTGAGACTCTTAACAGTCATAATATTGTCAATATCCCATTAGAACGAGCAATCTTGGCATTGTGATATTTTCCTCAATGATTGTTATCTTTCTTTTCATATTCAAAATGTGAACACCCATCTGGTTCAAAATGTTTTCTGATATGGGAGCAGTATTGACACACTTCTTTGGTGAGGGTGAATTCCTACATATGGATCATTCATCTTTGTTAACACACCTTGTTAACGCTCAATTCTAACTGATGAATTTCTATTATGGAAATTACAAATTTGATTATGCAAACTAAATTCTTCTTGAGATGACTCTGGGAGAGCTCGACTTCTAGTGACTTCTATGTTGATGGAATCTTGAGGTTTAGGTAAACTTTTATCAAGTCCTACGGTGGATTCCAATGTTTATGTAAGAAGTAAGAAAACACATTGTGGATCACCTGAGTTGGTGATGTGATATCCACGTCAAATAGTTCGATTTTCATATCTTTGATCATATGCTCCTTTTTCATACAAGGAGGTGTAACTCCAAAGATATTATGATTCCAAAGCAAGACAATGTAAGTAGGACATAATTGAGGTTAATAATGCATATGGTTATACTTGGATGGTGAATTCCAATTTACAGTGGTTTTGAGCCGTAATATAATTCTAGATGTCGTTATCTTTGTTCAGATGATTGTTGAGGTCAAGTCGGAATAAGGTATTGAATGAGTTTGCCAGTCGGAGGTCAAACACTAGCGTTGGTGATGTAATATCCACGAAATCCAGATAATAGAGACACTCCTTTTAAATTTTACATTTTAGTAATGAAGACCAAATTTGTTAAATCTTTTATGATTTCTATTTTTATTAATGATATTGGAAAGAGAAGTTCAAATATTGAAAGAAATAGAGCAAAAAAATATGAGAGTATGTTGAGAAAATAAATATATAAGAGTATGTTGAGAAAAATATGATGAGAAAATAATAATCAATAAGATTAATATCCGTGCGTTGCAACTGTAAATAAATATAATGTAAATTTGAAATAAATTATTTTCAAAGAAAATATTTGTGTTCTTTTAATTTTTTATTAATTTATTTTAATATTTCAACAGTGAATAATTTTTTTAAGTTGTGAGAATTATATTTGTATGTATTTTATCGTAATTTACTTATACATATATTATATAGTAATTTAAGGTATAATTAATTATTTAAAAAAAGACAATTGTTACACTATGATTATTAAAATATAATTAAGATATTGTAGTGTATTTATATCTAATACAAAGAGAAACAAATTATAAAATTAAATCTATAGTAGAAGTTATGTTTTTTCTTCTTCTTTTATTGATATTGATTATATAATCATAAGAAAAATGATAGAGATAGAATTGAAAATATAGTATGTAAATGTTGTTGAAAGTGTAATTTCTTGTGTCGAAACAGATTGTTGCTCGATATAAGGTGTGTCGAAAATCTTAGTATGTTGAGTTATTAGCTCTCAAAGTGTTGTAAGCAAGTTGCTACACACAGATTTCGATTTAGGTCTAAAATATGTATTTTAGATTTTTATAGTTCTGAGCTTTTTTACCTTAGGGAGAAAGCAAACTCATTATAAATAGAGGGGGTAATCTCTATTTATGTAATGAACTCATAACAACTTGAATTTGCAGTTGCATGTGAATAAAGATTTTCCACAGTTTGTGGGTAGAGAGAAACTCTGCAGAAATCCTAATCTCTTTTCTTCTTTAATTTTCTTTTCTTTTCATCCTTATTGTGTAGTGATAACAATCTTGTTCATCAAAAAAACTCTCCATAGGTTTTGGTGGATTTCCAACATCTGGTATCTAGAGCTCTGGTTAAGCAATCAAGGGAAGAAGAAGAAAATCACAATGGTGATGAATTATGCGAATGAGAATTTTCTAACAAGTCTTCCAATTCCGAAAGTTGATAACTATGCGAATTAGTGCAAACAAATGAAGGTTATATTGTATTAACAAGGTCTTTGAGATCTTGTAAAAGATGGGTTAGAATTGCTTGATGAAGATTCTTCAAACGATGAAGAGACTGAACATAAAGAATTGGAGAAGAAGAATTATAAAGCTCTCTTTATAATTCACCAATATGTTAGTCCAGAAAATTTTGAAAATGTTAGTGATGTAGAATCTGCAAAAGAAGCCTGAGAGATTCTTGAGAAATCTTTTGGAGGTGCAAAAAAGGTGAAAGAGGTGAGGTTACAAACTTATAAAAAAACATATGAATTACTTCAGATGGAAGATAGCGAGAGCATATTTGATTTCTTCACTAGGGTTACAAAATTAGTGAATCAAATTAAGGTATGTGGAGAAACGTTAAAAACCAGAGTAGTTGTTGCAAAGATCTTGAGATCTTTTTGCCCTAAGTTCGATCACGTGGTGGTAGGTATAGAAGAAGGGAAAGATTTGTCGAAATTGACAAAGAACTTCAAGGGACGCTTGAAGCTTACGAACAAAGAATTGCTGAGAGAGTTGCAGGAAAATTGAAGAGTGACATGGCTTTGCAGACATATTCAACAATTTGATTGGTAGAGGAAACCAGTAGGATGAAATTATGTCGAATCAGAGAAGACCTCAATACCAAGGCAACCAAAGAGGTGGTGCTGGAGGTAGAGGAAGAGGTGGTCGTTATAACACCCTATATTTTATAATTAAATTATTTGTTTAATTATATGTGATATATGATGATTGGTACACGTTTGGAATGAGTATGGTATCTATAATCGGAACTGGTATACAACTCAGACAATATTGAGAAGTTGCAGAATTGCGCGTCTTGCTGGGCGAGCTAATCGCTAGAGTTTCGTCGGGCGAGCGAGCAGAAAGGTAGAAAAGAAAAGCTATTGGAAAATGTATGGGGGATGGAGTGTCACTCCAGTGTCACTGGGCGACGAGGTAGCGAGTAGAGCGCTTCCAAGGGCGCCAGGCAAGCATGAGGTGAGCATTCTGGCAGTGACATTTCAAAATGCAGTAACTCGAGTTTTAGGAATTCGTTTGACACGTCGCTCGAAGCATGGGGAAGCTGGCATGCCAAGATATAATATAAATGAATTATATGAGTTGTTTGATGCATGATTTCAATACCTTTGTGTTTATAAGATTGATTTATTATATGTTGTTATGCTATGATGTTCTATTTTAATGATGAATATGATGTTTCTATGAACATAATTATGTGATGATTATGTGATGATTATGAAGATGATTTTGTGATGATTATATGAATGATGATGCACTTGACTAGCCGTTGACAAATTTTATATGACGTTGTTGTGCATCATGCATTCATAACAGTTTTGGATGGTGGTCTGCTTGTGACAAGCCTCAATCCTATTGTGCGGATTGAATTCATTTATGATGTGCTCCGGTTCCAAGAGGGAATCGATCCTATGGTAGGGATCTTTGGAGGATAATGAATCAGGTGTTGAAAAATATTTATACCACATACATCTGAGTCAATTGTGTTGCATTAACATCTTATGTGACATTGCATAAATTTAGTTGATGAGTTGTGATATGATAAAAATTGTGAATTGTGTGATTATATGAAGTTGGATGATGAAATAAGGATAAGTGATATTGTGACGTATCTGTGAGCATGAAGTATTGATGGATAATATGTGTTGTTATGTGATGATGTTGTTATAACTACTAATCTTTTCCTTATATCTTTTATAATG